TCAGAAATCACCAAATCATTTAACGTTGAGATTTTTCAGTCAAAGAAATGCCTCAAACGACCCAGAATGACATTACAGAGTTATATCATACACTCACACGTTATCTTAAATTCCGTGACGATCGTAAATGGTCACATACCCTGTGAAGAAGCACTTCACGTGGGCGATCTGTCTCTTGACCACGAGAGACTGATAACCTCGGCTGGTGGTGGTATCTTAACCAGTATGAAAAGTCTTTCAGAAATTGCAGAAAACCCTGCAATTTTCCCGACTGACCATCGAGCTACACGAAAAACAATTCGGGAAACTTCCAAGCCCCCACGCGTTAATGGCAACTGTAACCGGCGAACATATACGTCACAGATGTGTTAACGAAAGTTCGATACCTCATCGATACGGGCACAGAAGTTAGCGTTCTACCTGCAAATTCCAACGACCGGCTTCGTGAATCAATTTTAAACTTACAGGCGGGAAAAAGAAAGCCGATCGCTTCATACGGTGAAATGTACATTTACCTTAACGTGGGTTTATGCAAACCCATACACTGGATCTTTGTTGTTGCAGATGTTTCCATACCAATCATTGGTATGGACCTACTACAGCGCCACAATTTAATCATCGAACGGAGGCTAGTACACAGAAATACTAATTTATCTGTTTGTGTAACTTGTTTTTTCCGGTTGCACATTATCTTCAGCCACAATTAAGCACATGGCAGACCCATTCTATCAAGCAATACTCGATAAGTATTCTGGGATATACGAAATTTCCGTGTGTAACCAGCAACGTTATACACCACATCACGACTACAGGACCACCTGTATTCTCGAAAGCACGCCAACTGGCTCCTGAAAAGTTAGGTTGGCGAAAAACGAATTTGACCACATGATAGACTCAGGTATCATAAGACCGTCAAACAGCCTCTAGGCATCTCCGTTGCACATGGTCCCTAAAAAGGACAGAAACGATTGGTGTCCAACTGGTGACTATCGGCGGTTGAATCCCAAAAAAGCATCCCTGATCGTCGCCCGTTGCCTCATATTAACGATTTGACGGCTACCTTGAAAGGTACAACTGTCTTTTCGAAAATTGACTTGGTTAAAGCGTATAACCAAGTCCCTATGGCTACTGATGATATTCCGAAAAAAGCTATCGTAACTCCCTTCGGACTCTACGAATTGTTGCGAAGGCCTTTCGGTCCAAGAAACGCTGCCCAAACTTTCCAAAGGTTCATAGACGACGTTTTTAGAGGTCTCAAATTCGTACATGCGTATGTCGACGACTGTCTAATGGCAAGTCTGTACAGAGAATCGCATCTCAAGCATTTGGATCTTGTTTTCGACCGACTACAAAGACATGGCATTACTTTAAACATTCAGCAATGCCAAATCGGAACTGAATCCTTAGACTTTCTAGGACACACAACCGATGCGCAAGGCATCCGACCCCTTAGAACCACAGTGGCGACCATTCCGGATTACCCAGAACCGACCAACAACAAGCAATTACGCACGTTTAACGACCTTGTAAGTTTCTATAGACGATTCATACCGAAATGCACGTTACCTATGAAACATCTTACCGATCAACTTCGTGGAAATGCGAAGTCCATCAATCTAGACGACACCGCACGAAAAGCATTCTCCACAATTAAGAAACTTATCGCTCAAGCAAAAATGCTTGCTCATCAGGACACTGAAGCACCCATTAGTATCGCATTAGACGCTTCCGACTCAGAAATCGGGGGAGTCTTACAACAAAGGGTTAACTATTCCAGGCAACCTTCGGCATTTTTCTCTAGACGGCTGCTAAACACTGAATCGAGGTAGAGCACATTCGGTAGGGAACGCCTAGCCATGCATTGTGCTGTACGGCATTTTCAACACTATATCAAAGGCCGTGAATTCACCCTTTTCACTGACCATAAGCCTCTTACTTTCTCTTTAAGCTCCTCTTCAGACAAGTACTCGCCTCGTGTGTCTCGAAAACTGGACTACATTTACTTCAGACATTCAACACATTTCTGGATCAAACAATGTAGTCGCAGACGCCTTGTTCCGAATAACTTCCGTGAACAGTTTCCAAGCAATCGACCCTCTGAAACTCGCCCAGCTTCAAAACAAAGACACTGATCTTCAGCACGAGTTATCCTCAAGAATCCTCAAGGTACGCATCGAAGAGATTGGAACAGGTAAATAAACCATGCTTTGTGACACATTTACAGGTATGGATCGCCAATCGTGCCGAAACATTATCGACGAAACATCTTCAATACGTCGCACAAACGTTCTCATCCAGGTGTTCGTGCATCCATCAAGCTTATAGCAAAACGGTTTCGCTGGCTTTTTATGAATAAATAAGTGAGGGGATAGGCACGCCCCTGTGTAAGCTGCCGAAAATCTAAGGTTATCAGACAACAAATGTCCGTTGGGCTCGTTCAGAACTCTGGACGCTCGTTTCGACCATGTTCATCTGGATTTGGTAGGACCTTTACCAGATTCAAATGGGTACTCTTATCTCTTAACCTGCGTTGACCGTTTCACTCGATGGCCAGAAGCAGCATCTATCAAGGATATCACTGTTGAAACAGTGGCCCGCGCCTTCGTTGAACGATGGGTAGCAAATTTCGGCTACCCCTCAACTATCACAACAGACAGTGGGCGTTAGTTCGAATCTGAAATTTTTCGTTGCGCTATTAAGAATCACTCGCTTCCGAAGGATCGCCTACCACACACAAGCAAACGGGTTAGTGGAACGCCTTCATCGACAACTAAAAGCTTCACTATCAGCTTCAAACATTTCTTAGTGGACTGACGCTCTTCTACTCGTCTTACTAAGTATTTGCAATGCAGTGAAAGCTGACGCTGGATACACTGCGGCTCGACTCGTTTATGGAACGACACTTTGACTTCCAGGAGAATTCGTGGACCCTTCATCCTCTTCAATGCACATGGATCTAACCTACTACAAGAACAGGCTTACATACTCTATGCGTTCAGTTAAAACTGTTTCCACTTGACTACAATCAACTGATATTTTCGTTCAACCTGACTTACGATATAGTACACTCGTCTTAGTACATCGAGACTCGCATCAATGACTTTACGAATCAGCATACGAAGGACCCTTCAAAGTTGTTCAACGCGAACCCAAGTACCATATAGTCCATAATAACGGAACCAACGATAGCATCAGCATCGACAGCAACAAATCAGTGTATTTAGAAAGAAGTCCTATTCACATCGATTTTCCTTCGGTACAATCGCACGACACAACTTTTATACTTGTAATACCTCAACCGACAGGCAACACACACGATGATACTTTGGCAGCATCAGAAAATGAACTTTAAACAACGCGTTCTGGAAGAAGAGTAAGATTTCCAAAACTTTTGAACGATTTTTACACGTAGAATACTAGTTGACATTGTATATCATCTTGATTTTTCTTTGTACTATATGTAATAAAAAACGACAATTTTAATATGCTTATTTATTTATATTTTTATCTCAAAAAAAACGAAACAAAAAAACCATATTATCAGGATGCCTTTTTACGCTATTACGTGGGCGTGAGGTTATTTTCCTTTTTTCACCCGCTTTGTGTGTATTTCGGCGTGCACTTATATATATATATATATATATTTCTAGGACGGCTGGAAAAGACGATACAAAAAACGAATAAGTTTACGAGGAACCGAAATTTTCATCGTACTTTTTCTTTTTTACTATATTATACTTCATGGTCCTTTAGTGTGGCGTCGAGTCGCGGTTGACTATGATCACCACTACAGGAAGACTACGTGCCAGTTGACCAATAAGATCTCCCGTAGGTCAAATATCAGAAGGCAGTTGATATCTGTAGTCGAGATGTATTTGTTAGCGATCTCGAGGTATCGAGGTCATGCCAAGTTACAAGTGTGGTTACAGAGCAAACGTTCGTGCAAGGTTACAATCAACGAAAGAGTGTATGTATTCTGGTACAGTTAAACAAACAAGTACGGCAAAACAATCACTGGTACAATTGGTCATAGTAATAATTGTTTCCATTACACCATTCGCGTTCTCTTGATAAAAGTAGGTCACTACAGTCCCTTGTAGTAAGGAAAGATTACAAGACGCTGCTAAACCTAGCAAGCTGTCAGAAGTGTTTACCAACGACAAACTCGCTGGGTTTAAACTTCTGGCTGGCCACGTCTTAGGGTCATCACTACCTTCTAGGGGGGTGAGTGTGGAAAATAAATCTCCGAAATAAAGAGCTCTGTAAGTTTTCGATATTGGGTGCTGACCACATTACTTTTAGTGGACTCACCTAGCTGAAGGCACTCGGTCATGTATCCGCACCAGATTACGAGTGGGAACGCTGTTCTCAACAACCCCTACAATCGCTAGTCAGATTAGATCAGACCATCTTTGGTATATTGATAGCCTATCAAATATATTTTTGAACCTCCTCACTTGGTGAGTACGGTTCATATTAAGAGGTGCTATTGGTTAAAGCGTTGCCAAACTCCGAACACCTGTGGCATCTTCAGACTAATGACATATCTTACTGTGATACACCAACATAGCAGAATGGAATGTAGACAAAACTCCTACTCCTTAAGAGTTGTCAAATGCTGGAATTCGCTGCCGGCCGAGCTAGTCCAAGCGACTTCCCAGGAGTCCTTTAAGAGGCAACTCGATCTATTCTTAAGGACTAAGGATAGTATCGCACTATGATTTATCAATTTCTTTTCCTGTTTTATTGTTAACATACCTAGGTTCCTGCCTGGGGGATTTGGTGATTCCCTGCTACTAGACACGGAAGCCTGTTAAACGAAAGCTTCTTCTATTCGGTCCACAACCATTTGAACCATTTGAATCAACATTTTTTTTACCTTTAATATACCTAGGCTAATACACGAAGGCCTTGGTGATCCACTGCTTGTAGATACGAAAGCCCATAAAACGAAACCTTCCATTCTATCCGGAACCATTTGAACTATTTACTGAAGAATAGAATTTGCGTGGGAGATTTATCTTCACAAGGTCGTGCCCAATGTTAACCCTCATACTTTCGTTTTTATTGTCGCCAGTTTCAGTACGATATAATAACTTAGTTTTAAATTCAAAAGGCTTTAGATATCTCTGGTTACACGCTTGAACATAGGTTCAGGGAGAGTAGGTTCTGTACCTTAGTTTATATTTAGTAGATGGGGCTTTCAGTCAAATGGATGGAACTTCGATTAAATCATCATCTGGAGTTCTAACTTTAGTTTCCGGGGGTCACGTCTTTTCAACTGATGAAAAACAGCAGCTTCAGGTATGTACTTTCTGTTTCTAAACTTTCAAGGAGTCTGCAAGGGCCGGGTACATGTATAGCGTTCGTATGCCTGTTAAAAACGAAGAATATATTGAAGCTTCGATTCGTTCGGTAACAGAATTTCTCATCTAGCACGTTCAAGTGCCAAATTATTGCCTCTAGGATGAGATTAAAGCTCACTGTTAGCGTTAATGACGCCGGGGACCCAATTGCAATACATATGAGCACTCCGAAGTACGACTGCTCATATGACATTTCTGAAAGTTTTATGGACCTCCCAGATTTATCTATTACTTTAGCATTGCAAAAACCAAAGTTAGGACCAAGGTATTAATCATGTCAATTTTTACTCTTTAGTCCTGAAACTGCAAAGTATCTAGAGAAACTCGAGAAGCAACGTGAAGAAATGGCTCGTGCTGAGCAAAGTGACAATCGTTCTTTCTTTGCTAAATATGTAAGTATTTTTGTGGGTATATTTCTTATGGACTCGAATTTCCTGAAATGTGTTTAGCACATCCTCTGTTACTAGATCCTCTAACGGCTTTCGTTGTTATTTGTTTCAAACGAAAGGAACTAAGACTTTTTACTTTTTCTCCAGAATGTCACGCATAGTTTCTGCATACTGTCTTGTCATCGTATCTAGTTCAGAATCTTATCTGTAGGTGTACTGTAACTAGAGTCATTCTGATCTTTTTAACTACTCTCCACGATTCTTGGGTTAGACAACCTGTCCAACCATCTGTTCGTGTGTATAAATTTGTCAGAGTTTTGCTATCCTGTGAGTTAGAAAGTAAGCTCCGATAAAGTTAACTGCATATCAAATCCATGGTCATAGTAAACGATAAGCTTGACTGTAGTGACCGAAACGTTTCTACTCCAATGGTAAGTGATTGTACTGGATTTCAGTTGTGCATTTTGCTGTTTAGGCCAGAGGTCAATTAAAGCCTCATAATGAAAAACGTTTAAACTATTGACCAAAAGTTGAAAGATAGTTTTTTTCATTAAATGTAACTTCTGTTGAAATGGATATTTTATTCCAGTAATAATGATGAGACCATATTGTGGATACTAATTTTTGAAATTTTTAGTGCTAGTAATCTAGCTCCATGTAGTCATCAATATATAATGCCAATGCCATGTTTGTTAGCAAGACACCCTTGTGGTCACCGCTAATTAGAATAATTAGATTTATTTATTTATTTGAACACATAAATATTGGTACAAGTGAGCGCCAATATTTATGCGCCACACAAAACAATGAAAATTCGAAGACGAAGAAAAAAACAGAACAATAACGAAGAGGTTAGCGTAAGGTAGTGTAGTAATAATAATAGTAATAATGAGGGAACGGAAGGGTACAATCAGAAGAAATCTTTCAGTTAAGGAAGAAACAACCACTTTTTATGAAAAAAGTAAAAAGTTACAGCAGGGATTGCCACTGGATTCTATTCTGAGCCATATCTGATAACGTCTCTAGCCACTGTGTCACACCATCTCTCGGACCCCAGCCAGGGAGTCATGAAGGACCGACACAAGCCAGTCCTTTGCAGCTTTCTTTCATGCCACGATATCATGTCATGCACTGACCACCTCTCCGCTTTTTTCAACCAGTCCCAGAGTCGCCAAATAATGCACGACGTGGAATTCTCTGGGACGACATTCGTAGAACATGTCCAAGCCACCAAAGTCGGTGTTTCAAGATGGTGACACCATTCGAATTATCATCTCTGTGCCCGAACACACGATGTCGAACCTCTGCATTACTGACATGGTGTTGCCACTGGATGTCAGCAATCCTTCGGAGACAGCGATGATCGAACACAGAGTTTTCTAACGTCCTCAACTCGGAGAGGCCAGGTTTCACAAGCATAGAGCAAAACTGCTCTAACCGACGCGTTTTAGATCCGACTTTTTACAGCCAGGCTAACATCACGAAGGCGCCAAAGATGGCCCAGATTGGCATAAGCCTCTCTGGCTTCTACTATACGTGCATTGATCTCATCACTCACACCCCCACCAACACTTATGCAGCTACCCAAATACATGAACTTCTCGACTACTTCTATCTGCTCACCATCCAGAGTGAGTACAGGATTAGAATCCTGCCAGTCTTGTAGAAGTACTTTGCACTTCGAAGGTTCAAAGCTCATACCGTACCTACGGACACTGATTGCCAACTAATTAAGTGTGGATTGCATGCCTTGGGCATTATCGCACAGTAAGACAATATCATCCGCATACTCAAGGTCGAGAAGTCTTTCTCCAGGCAACAGATCCACATCACCATTACTTACATCAATCAGAGCTGTTTCCAGAATGTCATCGATGGCAAAGTTGAAGAGGAATGGTGAGATTGAGCAACCCTGCCTAACCCCAGTGCTCGAATAGAACAATGGAGAGAGGTGGTTGTATACCCTCACTCTGCCTGAGGTGTTTTTATATAGGGCTTTTAGGATGTTAGTAAACTTCTCAGGTACACCCTTCTTCAATAGACAATGCCAGAGAACAGTCCTGTCCAACGAATCGAAGGCAGCTCTGATGTCAAGAAACACTACGATTGTTGGCCTTTGATAAGTATGGCGGTGTTCTAACATTTGGAGGAGGGTGAAGATATGATCAATACATCCTCGACCAGAACGAAACCCAGCCTGCTCCTCGCGAGTCAATCTTTCTCGGGTTTTGAACAACCTACGAAGTATAACGGAAGCCAATAGCTTGGACGTAATCGGAAGTAGACTTATCCGCCGATAGTTGTTACAGGAACGACGTGAGCCCTTTCCAAAGATAGGGACAATTATCGACTCATTCCATGACGTTGATACACTCTCTAGTTCCCAAACCTTTGTAAACAACGTCGTCATGTCCTTAGTCAGAAAGTCACTACCATCTTTAAAAAGAGCCGGAGGTAAGTCATCTGGGCCAGGTGATTTGTAACTCTTCAAGAGTTGGAGTTCCTTGCGGACTTCCTCCTCGTTTGGTGGATCAGTCGTCACCGGCCATGGAGGGCAGGACAGTCTGACCGATGTTGCCGGAGCAGCAGGCCAGTTGAACTGCCCTTCGAATAATTCTGCCCATCGTCCAAGACGTCGATGGATGTTAGTGATTGGCATCCCATCATCCTCGCAGATTGTTTCGCTCACACCAGACTTCTTGCTGCCAGTGGCTCAGATGAGTTGGAAGAGCTTCTGGTAATTACCAGATGCAGCTGCTGCTTCCAACTCATTAGCACGCTTCGACCACCAGGCTTCTTGGTCCTTACGCAAGCTTTGCCCAATTTCCTTACGTAACATCCTTTGTTTGTGGTCAAACTCACGGTCACCCGGAGTAGACCGACGGGCTTCAATGAGTTGTAAGGAATCAGAAGAAACCCAGTGCTTATAAACGGGACGTTTCGCGAACCCACAACTGACTGTAACTACCATTTTCATGGCGTCATGCAATTGCAACCAATGCTCATCTATACTTTTCGGTGGAATGGTAGCTAGCCTAGAGGCTAGCTCGGTTTGATACTTGCTAGCAACAGAAGTTGCAACCAGCTTGCTAACATCAATCCGTTGGTGGCGGTCACTTCGTTGTCCACTGAAAAGTAAGGCAAGATTAGCGCAGATCAAGGCATGGTCAGAGTCCAGATAGGTACTCCAAAAGAAGCGGCAGTCTTGTACACAACCACGCCAGCGGTAGCTGATCGCGATGTGATCAATCTGAGTCCAGGCTTGGGATGCAGAGGGAGGACGCCAGGTGGCATATCGGCGATGACTGTGCCGAAAGTTAGTGCTAGCCAGAAACAGGTTGTGGTCTGTGCATAGTTGCAGTAGACGGTCCCCGTTATCTGACCTGCGACCAACGAGTCCCCATCGGCCACCTAAATGACTCTCTTCTGTGCCTAGACACCCGACCTGAGCATTCAAGTCTCCGGCTAGTACTACAATATCTGTCGAACGCACTTTCTGGAGAAGAACAGATAACTGGTGGTAAAACTCATCCTTGATTGCATCCGGGCTGCAATCTGTCGGAGCATAGGCTGAGATGACGAAAAGACATCGTTTCTCACGCCGATTTCTTCTCACTTTGATGGAACTTTCTAATCTAACAGCACATAACCGACTGTTAATGGGGATCCAATCGGTTAGTGCTGCCTCAGCTCTAGCGCTTAGTGCGACACCAACGCCAGCAAGATCAGACGAAGATGCCACAGGGTCCTCGGATAAGCGCACGTAAAACAAGCTTTTCGAAGCGACAGATGGAGAGCGAATTTGTAGTACTTCACCAGAGTCTTGAATACAGTCTCGGATAGACAGCAGACATCGATACGAAGACTTTCCAAAGACAGCCAGCCCTATCTGTTGTCCAACCTGCATAAGTGTGCGAACGTTGAAGGTAGCCAGTTTGAATGGTGCACGTGGTTTCAGAAAAACTGTTTCAGTACTCATATTCAGTGGTAACATACAATTTTCAACCGGACGGTGACTCGAGAACGTTTAGATACAGTCGAATTTCCACCGAAGACGAGCCGCTGTATAAGTATAAAAGAGGGTGAATAATGTGGTAAATTAATAATAATAATAATAATAATAATAATAATAATAATAATAATAATAATAATAATAATAATAATAATAATAATACTAATAATTAGAATCATTTGATTGTTATTCGAAGCGAGAAAGGTAGTTTCCATGGGTATAAAGAGTTTGTCATTTGCGTGTGGGCTGCGATACTGCCCTGGTGCCCAGACCGAAGCAGGTGGTTATCTTAGGGGGCCATACCCCGAGCCTTTGACCTAAAGGTCTAACCCACAAGGCAGTGGAGCATCGTGAGGAGATGCAGTCCTATGGTAGCCGGTGACCGAAAATTTGTCCATACGCCATTTGTTCCCGCCGGATACTGGAGCCCATGTGCACCACTGATTTGGGATCCGGTTAAAGCGCCGGACATTCGCTTTTCGTCCTCTCATTTTCGTAAACAACACCCCCGCCACGAGAAGGAATGAGTAGGACTTCTCTGGCAGAGGCTGTATACGCGTGGCCGTGTGAGAGTATTTCGAGAGTTAGAGCGGACTCTCCCCACTCTCGGCCGTACCAGGGACGGACGTAGACGATTCGGTTTCGATCCCCAAAGTTTCTGAGAATATCCGAAGATGCTCATTGTAAACTATGAAATAAAAAAGTGGATAGCCAAGTTTATTTTGTGATTAGTGGTACTTGCGTCCACAAACTAAAGCAGTTCAAAAAACAATCCAATGTTCACATTTTTTAAACACGAAAGGAAGTCCGTTACTAAGATACCATTATAGTCGAAAATGTGGTCTGATGTAGTAAATACCTTCACTGTTTATTGTTTCAAGAATGTTTCATTATCTAGATTACTCTCGGCGGAATTAATTCACTGTCATACGTGACTTCTTCGTTTCTAGTCTTTCACTTATTTCAACTTATTTAAACTTCGTTTTCACACGTCCCAGGTAACTGTTTCTCTCTTGAACTTTCTCTGCTTTGCACTTGTATCGTAGGTATTGTTTATAGTGGCCTTCAACAAAGTTTCAAGATCTCAACTTGTAATGAGTGCTTGGATGTTTTTGAGTTTGACTCTATATGTACTCAGATTTTAACTTTAAATACAATCGGAACACTATTTACCCTCAACTGTCTCATGTAACGCAAAAAAATTAAATTCGATTTCAATGCTTCCTGGTTTATTGTTAAGCCCCGAGTGTAAGTCATACAATAGAATCTACTCCGACCTACAAATACAATGTTTACTGTTTTGTTTTCATTGATAGCTATAGCCTGTTCCATTAAAACCTACCGAATGGGGGCCACCTGCTTTAAAACTCACTGTTCCCATGATATAAGGCCTTTTGGTTCTCGTGGTGCACGTTAGCATAATGGGTAGTCTTTTCAAGTGCTTTGACTAATATACTGTTAAAACCAATCAGTTGGTATTTATTTGACAGATATCTATCTCATTTTTCTATTTCAAAACTGGTAACAGCATCTTCCTATTACAATTAAATGCAGCACATTATCAAATTTCATTAAGAGTATATTTACTTGGCCTACCATTAATGCATTGCTTCTTCAAGTAGGCACTAGTTGCTTTCACACGAGACCTTAGTGTATATTGGATAATGAATTTGATAGTCAAAAAATAACACGAACTACAGTTGCTTAACCATTAAGCCTGTGCTCACAACCAATGGCGTCACAAATTAAGGGTTTATGGTGTTTACAATTAAATTAACCATATAAAGACAGATACTAATAATAAACTCCCTTAGCTGATCTGCTTCTGTCATGCAGCATACGGCTTTATCCCGACAACTCTGTAGTTTTTTCAAGTTCATGTATAATACACGTTTCAGTCATGACTACATCGGCTGAACATAACACGTCCAATGACCACTCTGGTTCACAGAATTAAATCTAAGACTACAAACATATGTTCGAAAGCCGTATACAAACTTTGTATCCAAATGACGTGTTTACACAGGTTTCAGCATCATTAGTTCTCAAAGTTTGATTATTCTAAGACCCGTTGGAGTTTTATTTTTTTGTTATCGTATGTGATGTCTCATTTAGTCAGCAACTCCTGTAGGTGTTTCTTTAAATCCGGGCTATTAGACCTCAGTTCATTTACAAGTACGTTCCGTACAATTTACTTTTTATCACTCTGCATTATGATTGAAATTCATCTTATCATTCTTTGATTGGTTAACACTATCTGCTCCAAACGTTCCCTCACTATAAAATGAGAGTTCGTTGAGTTTATTATCTTAAACATATAGATCCACTGGCCTTTTGTCTGAATCTCATTTCACTGACTATGAATCAGCTATTGTAGTGTTTATACTCGACTAATTGATCTAAGGATTAGGCCGACTGTGGACACCAAGATTATTACGTCTAGTTGATTTTTTTTCCTTGTTTGACGATCTGTGCTTATTTACATGAGGTCTATATCAGACAGTAAAATCAACTACAACACACTCTAGGACTTATAATTGAAATTCAGTAAATCTAGCAAAATACTGAGGAAATATCAGTAGTATAATTCGAAATGTGACAGATTTCTACAAATCGACAAAATATACTCAAGAGTCCAGAAACATATTATAAATCAAACTTTAACCGAACTGATTGAAGAGATTTAGTGACAAGGCTTTAATATATATATATATATATATATATATATATATATATATATATATATATATATATATATATATATATATATATATATATATATATATATACTTAATCTTTTTCACTACTACGTTGTTATTAATCTTGATAATTTCACATCATTGTGATATTATGTCACAATTTGAACCGGTAAACATGTTTTCCAAATTTTATGTTGCTTATAGCTGATCAATTAGTAATTTTTCAGTGTCCCATTCTCTACAGACTATCAAAGGTATGGATCATGATAGCTAAAAATCCATAGATCACTTCAAATGAGATCAGTGTTCAAAAATTTCAGACTGAATGACATTCTCCATTAGCTCGGTAGTCTGTATGTTATTCAAACGTTAGTAGTTACTCGTTGATAACCATTCCACTCAGTTATGTCATCGAACGTTTAGTTTAAAATGATTGTCAATTTAGTAATGAAATCAAGATAAGTGAAGCTTCATTTTTTTTTCTCATCCAGTTAAATGATTGATTAGTAATTAATTTGCAATACTTTTTCTTTTTCTCATTGATTTCAGTGGACCTACATTATTCCAGCAGTTTTCTTATTCATCCTATTCTCCAGTATGCAAGATCCTAATGCAGCTGGAGGAAATATTGGGGGTGGTAATCAACAGTAGACGAAAACTTAATAGATATCAATCCATAATACTGTTTGTAAATTATGTTTGGTTTTAACAATACTTGTATGTTTATTTTATATGTTATTTTTCATTTTGTTAATAATGAATTCTAATTTGGAATTTATTTCTTTTGAATATTTACATAAAATACTTGTAATTTACTCGCCGATTACTTTTGTAGATATTTTAAAAAAAAACAGAAAATAATTCAATGTTACGCTCTATCAGATTTAATATTTATTAATAATCGTCGTTTTTCGAAAGAGAGATAATGATATGTGTTCGAAAGTCAAGTGTTCAAGTTGATTGTGTTAAGTTAACATTGATTCAATGTCTTTTACAAATAATATTGCTGAGACTGATTTATGGACAACCTTAGATCGACACTTAAGTGACCTTGAGAATATCTACCTACTTACTAGGATTTACACTTGCTTGTTAGATTTGGGTTTTTTTCTTGAGATGAGATGATGAGATCGATTCACGTATAGTGAAAGCCAGAGCGGCTTATGTTAATCTGGGCCACCTTTGTGACGTCAGTTTGGCTGTAAAAGGTCGGATCAACAACGCGTCTGTGAGAGCAGTTTTGCTCTATGCTTGTGAAACCTGGCCTCTCCGAGTTGAGGATGTTAGACGGCTCTCTGTGTTTAGTCATCGTTGTCTCCGAAGGATTACTGACATCCAGTGACAACACCATGTTAGTAATGTAGAGGTTCAGTATCGTGTGTTCGGGCATAGGGACGACAATTCAATCGGCATCACTATCTTGAAACATCGACTTCGGTGGACATGTTCTACGAATGTCGTCCCAGAGAATTCCACGTCGTGCATTATTTGGTGACTCTGGGACTAGTTGGAAAAAGCGGAGAGGTGGTCAGTGTATGACATCACGTCGTAGTATGAAAGAAAACTGCAAAGAGCTGGCTTGTGTTGGTCCTTCATGACTCCCTGGATGGGGTCCGAGAGATGGTGCAACACGTTGGCTAGGGACGTTACCAGATATGACTCGGAATAGAATCCAGTGGCGATCGTGCTGTAACCTCTTACTTCATGGAAAGTGGTTGTAACTTCCCTAACTGAAACAATTTTTCTGGTTGTACCTTCCCGTTTCCCCCATTATTATTATTGTTATTTCACTTCCATACACTAACCTGTAGTCGTTATTATTTTCTGTTATTTTTCTTATAAGCACCCTACATTCTTTTTATCTTTCTATTCTCATTGTTTTGTGTGGCGCATATACATCTGGTGCCCTCTTGTACCAATATTTATGTGTTCAAATAAATAAATGGGGTTTTTCGTCATAAGCTGACATAAGCTATAATGCCAAAATGCTATTTAGGCAAACGGATGAACGAATTTCGCGCCAAAATCCAAGACCTGATTGGTTCGTCTATAAATTATGGTCTCTCCACTGTATCTTGCTTCAACTGTACCATTTTATTCTCCAATTCGTCTAAACTTGTTTGGTTACATCCCCTTCCTGCTCCGTCGTTTTTTAAAAAGTTGATTCATAAAGACACTTTTGGTGCTTTTAAGCTCAGTCAAAGTAGTTGTAACGTATTGTCTGCCACGGGTGCTTGCAAATATGAGTGAAAATAAGGTGAACGCTTCGGCGACATAGCGATATTTATCTGTTCATAGTCGCTAATAAAACGCCCAAAACCAGTTGTGGAGGTAATGTACTCAGCAATAATTTTCTTAGCATGTCAGCTAATTATAAAGAATGGATCTGGCACAGGTGTAAGTTGACCAAGTCACTTGCAGTATTTGAGGAGAATTATGAAAGGAACACTCACGAGGTACTCGGTCACCCATCCACAACTTTATGTGGTCCATCCAGCAACAGCCTAAATCGGACATTAGATATGTATATTTCAATTCTGGTCGTAGCTGTTGGAACCGAAATAAGCCTAAAGTAACGAAAGGCAGCATAACATGACAGTGTCCAGCCCACAAGTTGTTCATTTATGCTCATCTGGTATTCATCACTTGACAAGTAGAAAGAGTTATGAATAGTTACCCCAATAATTGCGCTCGTCCTAGCTACTAGCAAGGATATGCTGTTAATAGCCACAACATCTGATAATTAAGGATACATATAAATAGATAAACATAACAAACTGAGAAGTACACTTACTGTAAAAATCTGTGGACGGTTTTCTTTCTGCCTAGTCTGTAGACATGGGTTTTCAAGAGCTCACTGAAGATTTAATTTCATGTTTTACGGTAAATCATCTAGTCTACCAAGTGCCATTTTGAAACATTATCGACATCATGTTACATAACAGGAGTGCCTGCAGCAAGTTCAGTTTCACTCATCACCTTAGTGAGACTGGTTTTATCAAATATTATTGTACCAGAAGGATTTAATTCAAAAGGAAGTTTTCGTATCAACGATCAAACCTGAATCCAAAGGTGAAAGGTTCCGATTAATTTCGTTCATCTTCCTAGGCTAAAACCGCTGTTAAATCAACCATTGTTAACAGCCTGGTGTCGTAAAGCCAGGTACGAGGCTTCGTGGGATGATTTATTTCAGTCTCAACCAATCAGCAGATCAAATTTAAAACAGGTGAGAGCCGTGTACATATTCAAGACATACGTAGAGTACGTTATTAGATTAAATGTTCAGTCGTACGTCAAAAAGGTTATAGTACAGACAAGTTAAAGTAGTCTGTTTAACTTAATGACCGTACAGAGTTCATTAAAATATTCGATTCATACAATGTAAAGCCACTAAAAAGTGTACACTGGCTAGTGTAGAGAATATCGACAAATATCAATCGCAAAATGTTGCTCTCGGATTCTATCATGAAACCAACCTTGTTCATTTGTTGTAACCTAACTAGCGTTAATTTGTTCGCTTTCATAATACTGTTCATTTCTCAGTGATTAAGTCTCTAGGATTTTTGATTCACGGTTCACAACAACTAAATTTCGTTTAGGAAACTGATAACTTTAAGTTCGTTAAAGTAAGAAAATAATGACAGGAGCTTAAACTTATTAATTATCCCAGCTGAGGAGGAAGCGCTGGAAGTGGATAGGACACATTGAGGAAAGAATCCAACTGCATCACAAGACAAGCCATCACATGGAATCCTCAAGGCCAAAGGAAAAGAGGAAGACCAAAGAACACATTACGCCGAGAAATGGAAATAGACATGAAAAAAATGAACAAGAATTGGATGGAATTAGAAAAGAAGGCCCATTACAGAGTGGGTTGGAGAATGCTGGTCGGCGGCCTATGCTCCATTGGGAGTAACAGGCGTAATTAAGTAAAGCATTGCCATTTAGATTTAAAGTGACCCCAAAATATTCCTTAAGCGATCTCAAACAGTAATTATCACTAAATTAAACTTGATAAAAATCCGATGAGAAATAGATTAGAATTTAACAATATTACTGAATGTATATTTAGATCATTAATCCAGCTGACGTGTGCAGCAATAATGTACAGAACTGAAGTGTAATGAGAACGAATGGACACTAGACCATACTGCAGTACTGATAGTATTTGCTTAACACTAGAATTAGACCTCATAGCCGTACTTTAATTATAATGACAGGTACTACAATTACAAGCTGTGATAATGTGATGAAATCAAACTGGAATTATATTAGGCGAGTATAATCTGAATGGAGGTGTAACCTACTGAAATATGTCCAGAATGTTCAGTAATTTAAGTATTTCGAATATTAATAAATTAGAGAAATAAGTGAGACAGGTAGGTACATAGAAAAACACTTAGAACCAATCACATAACTGGGATCAAGACAACCCATAGAATTTAGTTATTACACTTAATAATCACATGCTTAGTCTGAACTTGTATACAAGTTCACGGAAGTATGTATCTTTAGATTTCATATCAACATAGAGTGGAACATCAACAAATTGTGCTGACTGGTCATAAATGACAATTCATTAATTTAAGGAGAATATGATATTAAGTAAATAGGAATAACAAATCTTTAGGAAATGGCTCGATACATATTCCAGTTGTTCATTTTTGTTTCATGGCTTCTGAAAATTGTGCAAGAAATAGTACGATTTCGATCTGTTGAAAAGATTTAATTGACGCTATTGGTGCACCGTTATTATAATAGTGTGAGGAATTCTGTTTAAGTATCATGTTTGATTACTCGTGGTCAGATAACACCAAGTAAAGTATAATGAGCCATTTTGGCTTAAACTAGTCGAATGAGAAAATAAAATGATGTACTGTTTACCCTATACTGGTTGGATCTGAAGCGGATTTGAACTGGATTTAACGATCTATGTAAGGTAATGTGGTGTTTGAATTGACTAATGATACCTTTGTACTTGTGGATTACACGATTTTCGAATTCCAAATACAATACATTCGTTTGTTCTTGTGTCTTCTAAATTCAATTGCGTTATTTCTTGAACTCTTAGTTCGTGCTATAATTCAAATAATTCGAAACATCATAGGTAACTACGAAATAAACAGTGTTCAGTATCACTAAAATCAACGATTGGAATTATTTCGTATCTATATTACTCCCGAAATTTATGTCTAAATTACATCATATTGATGATCTGTGAGTTAGCCCCTGTAAAGATATAATAGTATTTGTTTTCAAACGACCACTGAAAATGTAACAATATTTTCTTATTCATGAAATTCTTAGATAAAGAGTTACTAAATATGTTTTATCAACGGAATATTTTATGTACGAATGAATAAATATCAATTGTTGAGATCATGAGTCAATTGAAGCTAGACCACAATGGAAAACCTTGAAGCATTGGACGGCCGTTTCGTACTATTGTGAGACTCCTCAGCAGTGCGCATCCACGATCCCGTCCCTCGGGGTTCGAACCCAGGACCTACTGGTCTCGCACGCAAGCACTCAACCACTGGGCCGGCAACAATTGAAATTACTAAAATCTCCATAAAATCCCTCTTCTGAGAATAAATATCAGTTTATACTTCTAATTTAAGTTGAGAAGGGATAATTAACTAATATATACACATATAAGTAGTTCAGTTAACTTGAAATTAATTTGAAATTTAATAATATAATTAATTTAGAAAATGATAATTTCATTGCTTCTAAATTCATTGGTTCCAGACTTACAATAATCATATAAGTTCAAATTCATATCAACCTAACGGGACTACATTCAGTGTTTCCAACTTTAGGTTGAAGTGTTACAGTTTATTGAAGTATCATTGATGTTCATATGAGTAAACAATATACA